TAATATTGACGTTCCCGTTTATCTTGTCGGTACATCTCGTATCCTTCGCGAAGATGTACGGCCTGTTGCGCGTTTTATGAAAACAATGTCAATCGTAGTACGATAAATCGAATCGGTTGTGACCCAAGTATCAACATGTCGTTTCTTTCCACTCTTTTCTCTTATCATCCTCTTATCAAATGAGAATCAATGAGAACGAGACGAGATGAAGGAAATCATGGAAAAATCAGGCTGCTAGCGAAAGCTACTCGTGACATAGAGGGAGTTTGGATGCGGATTTTCATGGTGAAAATTTTCTGTGAATGAAGGGCCAGATCGACAGGACGCGAGTGAGCCGCTTTTCGTGGCTAAAGTAATTCGTCCCAAATCGAAGCAATCCCACAGAAACCCGAAACCAATTTCGAAAGAATTGCATTCTAAAACCGTCCACGTGGCAGCTCCCGAGGCCAAACAACCGACTACCGCACGTAAGAATACCAGAAATTCTCGGAAAAACCTTGAGAATCTTGAGCTAGGAAAACGATCGATTTTCGGAAAGAATAGTTTCTGGAATATTTTCTTTTCTCGATAAAACGAAAGCTGGATGTTGCAGGAATTATCCATTTTTCCAGATAATTATGTTTACTTCCCGTTAAACATCTATATTTGAAAATTCCGATGTCAAATATAAACGAGGCGAGCTTAACTTCTTTAATATCTCTAATAATAAGCCGCATAAATTTGTATCATGATGTTTATCGCATCCTTCGCTTGATACTTTTAGGATTAATCCTAAAATCCTCATAATCCTTTTCGGAGAGTTATGCGATTTATATGCGAATGGAGTTTCTCCAACAAGAATATTTGAATCGTTCCTAGCAATTCCAAGTATCCTTACGCTCCCATCCTTGGTATCTCATTTTTATCTCCTGTTTTTTTCTTCGCCTTTCTGCCATCGTTGCCTCTTCTTTCATACTATGTGTTTTTAGCGCACCACGTCTAAAGATACTAGTGAAAGAAGAGATATCTTCTTTTATCGCTATTTCTTTTATTTTGTAGAAACGGCGCGGGTCGACAAGTTGAGGATACCTCATGGAAGGAAAGGGATATTCGTCATCCGCTTAATTTTACTAATGGATAAGCCGGTATACATTCAATGAGAGATTACGAAATAGATGAGTGACGGTAAGAGACTATTACACAATTTTCTTCTTACTTGTCTCGGGCTATGCCGACTTGCCTTACCGCTTTTATTCCTTGTGCTCGTTTTCTTGTGCCACGGCGGCGTGCCGCGTCGAGTTACCGTTTTTCTTGTTCTCACGCTGTGGCGAGAGGAACTTCTCGACTTGAGTCATATCTTCTTCTCGGCACGTCAGTATCGTTACCGACTAGCGTCTCGTTCATTCGCGGCCACTTTTTGTTCCTCACAGGAGATACCGGTAAGGTACGCAAAAACATTTCAGTAGATCTTCGTGCGAACCGCCATGGTTTGTTGAAGGAAAAGAGGGAGTATTTTCAGAACGCGCGGCGCGTGATAAGCGAGAAGTGTAAAATGGAGATTCCCCTTCATTTTCTGTGTACAGAGCATAAATTATACGGTTGTATATCTACTTTACTTTATTTTAATATCAAACTTTATATGATATCTTCAATAAATTATTTTTATTGAATATAGAAATTATCTTATTTAATTAGATTTATTCGGTCTAAATTCATATATCATGTGGCTTATTCCATATCTTTTTGAAATATTACGTTTACTTATATTAGTTGGTTATTACCGAAGTCTCAGTGGTCGAATTGATCTCGGAAAGTCAGAAGTTCCAGATTTAAATTCTGGCTGAGATACAATAATATATTTTTCAATAAAATTATTCGTAGATAAGGTTTTCGTTAATATTGCTTCTCAATTTAATAAAATGACATTACTACTCTGGTTCTTATCATGCTTACATTTCAAGAAAAAGATTTCCGCGCGCAGTTAACAGAATCAGATAAGTATATAAATTTATATAGAAATATTCAAGCTAATATCTGCTTTAACCGAATATAGGAATTCTCTTATTTAACTAGTTTTATTATTTTATATGTAGAGATAAAATATGAATTGTGATTTCTACGAAGGAATAATGGAGAGTATTGATTTCTCGAATCAAAATAAACAGTCGCAGATGTTAAAAGCGCAGTCAAAAAAGCTGGCACAGTGCCTTCTGTCGCTAACAAACCCCTGCGGCTCTTTATAGGACAATGCTAGATGGGAACAATTCAAAGAACCCGCAAATTGGCTTCGATGGTTCGTAGACAGGCTGCCATTCGGGTAAATCAGCGCCGCGAGGTTACGGTCGTCAAATCAATATTTGCACCCTCACCACCCTCGCACACAGAGAACCAGATTGCAAAGTCAGGCGTGTCGGAATTAGTGAAGAAGGAAGGAAGGAGAGAGGAGTATTGGACTCGGTAGTGAAGGACGACGATGAGGAGAGAGCGCGGAGGGAACATGAAGATGTGGAGTGGTGGGTGTACGTGGTTGGTGGCGTTAGAAATCGGTGGTAAACTAAATTAACCCCGTGTTGACCCGCGACCGTATGTTACCAATGACTTTCTATTACGTTGCCGGAATCGCACGGATAGAGTCCATTATAATCGAGCATTGCTCAGGAATGGAAAAGGAATGATCGAGGTACTGTCAGCCGAGATGTTTGTGCAAATGTTATACTTGCCGATTGTTCGTGCATTGGCTTCGCTCGTGCGAAAGACTTGTTGGATTTGTTGGCCTGGCTGAAAGTATTTGCCGAAACAAGAACACGCAGCAACCTTTTACTTTTGCGTATTAAAGTGGCGGAAGCTAGCTTCCGTTCGCTGCAGCTAAATTCGAGCACGCCAACCTTCCAGCAATTTTTGGTATGTAATGCAGTCTGCAGCACATCGATCAAGTCGACGATTACATTCTCGCGTTTTGGCTTTTTCGTGTCGACGAGCGACAGCACGAATAGACGCTCGGACGATAAGTTCTTTGAGTTTGATGCCTTTCAAGTTTGCAACATGGTTTAACGCCACCAACCAATAAGAAAATGTACCGAGACGTCAAGGAATGTTTCCCTTTTGCAGATACGTGAAAGCTGAAGAAGTTTACTGACAACGCGAATAAGTATTCTTTCTGATAAATAAATTTATCAAATGATAAATATATATATA